ACAGAGGCAGCATGGCATAGGGTGCTGAAATGCCACCCTCCAGGCCTGTTTTGGTTACCCGCAAAGCTGCTCCAGACCCTTGCGTAAGCTCTGCAACATACAAACAGCCTTTGCTGAGCTCTGTTCTCTGGAATAGCTGATACCTCATCTGATACCCCGTGAAATCGTTTTTGGTGTTGTAGGAAAAACATCAGTAAAGCAAACAGCAGTTACAGTATGTCAGTTTTTCCCCCAGAGCTGAGCTTTAAATGTCTGCCCAGCAACCTTAAACACGTGAGTTATGAGTATGATAAAACATTTCTCTTATTAAGAGCCCAAATCTATTCCTGGATTAATGGCAATGGTGTTGAAGAAGGGATGAATTCTCTGTGTCCTGACACACTGTCTGCAATTCTGCTTTTCTGTTTCATGACAGCTCGTTGCAAGAAACCCTCCGTATGCTTGGAGATATCATATAAGCATGTATTATTCTTCACTCGCTTGGTATTTTAAGCTGTATCATCAAAACCTAAAAGCAGACTCTGTTTGCCAAAAAAAAAAAAGAGAGAGATAAAATAGCTCATAATGAATAAATAGCATGAGCAAAAGATTTTCTAAACATGTCACAAAATGACAGGAAAATAAGTGGGTCGGAGGAATCTGCAGTAATCTGGTACAGTGACTCAGCCCCAGTGCGTGTTTCTGTGGTCCGGTTCCCAGGAGAATGCTGCTCTGAGCATTCCCATAAACTCCACGGGGTGAGATGAGACCGTGAGTCACCTCGGCTGTGCACCACCTGCACTGAGGGGGAGCAGGGCTCGGAAACCCAGAGGAGACCGCCCATTCAGCTGTACCTGGCAGGTCTCAGAGGCTCTGGAAGATAACGGCAGGCAGGACTTAAAAAAGAAACATTCTGTGCTGGACACAGTAGCAGTGCTTTGTTTCAACCAAAATTATTCCATAACGGCTACATTTTTCTGTCTTTTCAGCTGAGGAAGAAAAGCAAATTCCCTAGCGTAAGGCTTAGAGACCAGCTAGAGTCATGGATGGGGAAAAAAGCAAAAGTGATAGTGAAAGGCAGTAGGAAAATTGCTAAATGCTCACCTTAAGGGTCAGCCACAAAAAAAAAAGAGATGGCCAAGAAGTTTGTTGAGTGCTCAAGATTTGAGCATAAGAGCTATTAGTAACAGCTCCATAAGCATCGGATGTCTTTGTCATTGATTTCAGGAAAAGCAGAGCAGTTCAGTCTGTCTGCAGTGCTGCTGCCTTTGCCGAATGCCTTTCAGAGCTCGAAATAGACCTGCAGTCCCTCATGTCTGCAAGAGGAGGTCTGAGATTCGTTTGTGTTCTGTTACTGCACTGAAGTGCTTCAAGTTAAATGAATGTAGAGTGGTTTTGTTGGTTTCCTTCCCTCTCTTCCACGATGGTCTGAAGGGACTTAGGTTATTTTTAGTTCTAGAATCATAGAATCATGGAGTGGTTTGGGTTGGAAGGGACCTTAAAGATCATCCAGTTCCAACCCCCCTGCCATGGGCAGGGACACCTTCCACTAGACCAGGTTGCTCCAAGCCTCAACCAGCCTGGCCTTGAAGATGGCCAGGGATGAAGCATCCACATCTAATCTAATCTAATCTAA